GACACACGCTAACGAGCCATCTTTAATTGCTTCTGATGACCTCTTGACAAATAAACATTTATTAGAAGAGCTATAACTTTTCAGGCCGGCCTCAAATTCATCATAAGATAAAAACTCGGCTCCTGCACAATTTAACGCCATTTTGCCCGAAGTGATCCTGGTCTCTACCCAGCCTGAGGCGAGTCACGAGTGAGGCAGGACAGGAAGCCAGAGTCGCGAGTCACAGGAAGTCGGCAGTGATGTCATGCTGGACAAGAATCAGAGTCCGAATAACATTTTTTCATATTCGAACTCGAGTCCGAATAGTCACTTCGTTATGTATAACTGAACACAAGATATCCTTTGGCGCAGTCGGCACTCCGCAGTGAATATACAATGTCGAAGCAAATGACGGCGATGGCTACAACAGGACTGAATTTAATTTAAAATGGGCTTTCCTCTTACACATTTGATCTTAATGAAAATACAATAGTGCAACACTACGTTTCAAGTTATGGGTACTGGCATAGTTTCATATTTTTTCATTCCATTGTTTCTGAGAATATACTGTTCGCAAAATTTGGCCTTAGTTCCATTAGTAGTAAGATTATTATTATTATTATTATCATTATCATTTTTATTCTGTACATGCTTGTGTTAGGGTGGTAGTGTAGCATGTTATTTATTTAACTGATGGGTTATTTAACCCTAATGTACTGTCTTTCACTGAAAGGACATTGTTAAATGGGTGAATAGATGGTCTGGAAAATTGTTCAAAAGCGTCAGTTTACGTAGGTACTTTGGGATTCAAACAACGAACATCCCCACTGTATTTAAGAATGATAAATACAGAGCCATTGTTGTGCTCTGTACACCAATTGTGTTCAGATAATAAATGATTTATCGTGTGGTTGTGTATATAAGCTTGATGTTGTTTGGTTTTATTCTCCTTTTCTTGGGTTTATTTTCTATCTTAGAAAAAAACAATTTCCGATAGGTGAAATCACAGCATTTCACTTTTGTTTAGAAGCATCGGTGGTTTAACAAACCTGCAGAAAACCCGGGTTTGATTCCTGTGCTGGGGGAAGAATTTGCATCCTGGCATCACTGTCTTTCTGATGGGACGTTGTATCTCTTTCATTCAAATTCGGCCCTAACTGGTCGAATCCCGCCTCCTAAATGATCTAAATTGTGTTGATTGGGGGCCGTAAAACCTTTAAAATCATAGTTAACAAAGGTTTGTTTATTTATTTGTTGTGTTTGTGTATTTTAAATTTAAGTTTAAAACCTAACTTTTTTCAAAAGAAAACATTTTATTTAAAAGATTTATTCAAAATACAACAATAAAATTTGAGAAAGAGGTTTATTCCATACACACAAACTTAACGATAGCTTAATGAAGCATTTTGGTAAGGACTGTATACAAAATTATTGTTTATAGAATAATCTAAACTATGCATCATTTAATTAAAAAAAATTCACTAGACTTAGATATGCAGATATTTTCTACTTTCACATCATATTGATTCTAATTGTCTTTGTCTTTTGTCGTTTTCTCGTTCTGCGCCGAGACACGTCATACGCAGTTCCACTTGAAGAAAACATCTGAATTTCAAAGTCAAACTTTATGTCTATGAATGATGAACCTTGTTCATACGTATCCGAACGTCGTCTGTCTTATTCCAACGTTGTTACTTCGGGACCGGCTGTGGTGGTGCCTTAAAAATAGACGATTACATCCTTTAAACATTAGACAGTAGCATATTGATTTACGAGTATACTATGCGGATTTATTAAAACTTCGTATATGTAGGTAGTGATAAAGGCGTATTATAAGTAAAGCTGTGTCGATATGGTGGTAGTAAAAGGTTTACATTCTCTTTAAAGCTTATGATAATGAGAGTTTCCATAAGGCCGTGCTTATTTATAATCAATCCAAAGGGACAACAAAAGAAATCAACAAATGTCATATATTTCCACCCTTTTCCCTTCTCTGCCCCCCCCCCTCTCTCTCTCTCTCTCTCTCTCTCTCTCTCTCTCTCTCTCTCTCTCTCTCTCTCTCCCTCTCTCTCTCTCTCTCTCTCTCTCTCTCTCTCTCTCTCTCTCTCTATATATATATATATATATATATATATATATATAAATATATATATATGTCTGTCTGTCTGTCTGTCTGTCTGTCTGTCTGTCTGTCTGTCTGTCTGTCTGTCTGTCTGTCTGTCTGTCTGTCTGTCTGTCAGTCTGCTTGCCTGTTTGTACCAGAGCCCATGCTAAACACGTTTGTTTTTCAAGTTCGCTAGTCGAATTGTAACCTTTGCTACTCCATGAAGGAAAATCAGGCTGGCCATGACTGAAACAAATCAATCCGATTGTCAAAGTGCTCTGAGTAAAAAGATGACTTACCCTCTTCCCTGGCGCAGCAGTATGAGGTGGTGTCATGGGCGGGGTCTGGCGTGCAGTCCGCCACACTGGGACATGTGGACGTGTTGGAGCAGCGAAGAGGCTCCGGGACCACCGTCAAGTTGTCAAGAAGTCGGTCGTAGATCATGGCCAGGGCCGGACCACAGAAACTGTCATTAAAGCCCGTTTCGTAGATTGGTTCAAGTTCTGCCACGTCTGTGATTGGTTGAAAATGGTTGCAGATGTTTTACTATATCAAGTTTGTGGTTTGTTGAAAATGAATGTAGATGTTTTGCTCTACCACGTCTGTGATTGGTTGAAAATGATGGTAACCGTTTTATTCTACGAAGTCTGTGGGTGGTTTTCAATGATCGCAAATGTTTTACATCCCCATCGCAAACGTTTAGGTGATTAACCATGTCGGCTGTTCACATTTGCTGTAAGGGCTGACCGCGGTTAACAGAGATATTCTATAAAATAACTTCCTCAAAACGACATCGGAAACACGTTTTCTACATGAAACGGTGAAGACTCTTTCCAAAAGACAGCCTACGACAGTGTCATTGCTGTCACTGAAGAATTAATAACTAAAAATAAAGCTGTTTTTATATTATGTTATTCCAGAGAAAGATGTGTTTTACAATCAAATAACATGTTACAGCAAACAACATTAAAAAAAATATTAGGAAGCTGCATAGTTCATTATAATCGTATACCCTTTCCAAACAAAGACTCAAAAGGTCTCAAAAGATGTATTAACATAACACTGTGACACCTCAGCAAGAACAACAGCAATGAAATAACAACAACAGCTGTAACAGCAGCAGGAGCAGCCACAGAGGGCTTTTATAAGCTCTAATTCTTTTTCAATTGTTTTGACCTGTATCGACTGGGGTTGATTTTTACAAATTATTTTTTAAAAAGATGAAACCGCCTTTTACGCATCACTTTAGACATTTCAAAGGAAAGCAAATTTGAGGTAAAGAAAAAGAAACAGGTCCTTGTAAGCTGTTTCGTAATAGAGGCGGGTAAGCCTGTTTTGACAGCGTCTAAGATAGTGTGTTAAAAAAGGATGCTACATTTAAAGGCTTATAACTCGACCATCTTTGCACCAGTTTCAATAAAACTTCAAGAAAATATAATTCAACGAAAAGGACATTAAATTTGAAATTTTGCAAAATGAAGAAAATCAATCAACGTGTTCTAGAAATCATGCTTTAGAAATTTCAACTAAAATTGGGTAAAATGCAATATTTTACTTCTCAAAAGCATCCAGCTACAAGGGCGTTATCATCGGTCCATTCTGGTTTAACGACGAGGACTGTAAAACCATGACCCTCACATCAGATGGAAATATTTCACCTTGTTGAGAAAGTTTAAGAAACATTTGGGGAGGAGAAAGTTGTTGGAGAGGCCTGAATCCAGAAGAATGGGGCCACACCCTATAAACAAACAGAAGACAACGCATGCTTGTAACAAAGGATTGGGGAACACTTTATAAGCCGAAAGCTCACTATGGATAGTAACGGCATTCCCCCCGATTTCAACATCCTCAATTATTTCGTTTTGTTCAATTTTTGACAGACAGAATCTACAGAAACAACCCACAAACTATCGAACAGTCAATCTATCCAAAAACATGTCACGGAGATATTCAAAATTTCCAGTAGCTGATTAAAATTTAAGCTTGCCACGAGAGAAATAGTCAACACTTAGGCTTAGGTGATTTGGGTTTATTTGACATTGTCAATGGTATAATAATATTATATAATATATTATATTAATTGGTTTTCATTTCAAAATGCACATTATGAGTTGTAAATTTTTACGTTTACTTTAATTTGGTTTATCTTTTTTAAAAATCTGATTTTTTTCGAACATATCCGTTGATTTTCTTCATACTGATACACTGATTATGAATTTAATTGTTTTGAAGGTTTGCTTAGTTTAGTTTAGTAAGAGTTTTATAGAGCTCGCAACTGCAAAAGGTCATGTAAGCGCGCGAAACACAAGTTGGTTGCATTCATGACAGTTCTTAGCACGGCTTCAATTTAGTCAATGATCAGATGAACATGTGGTCAATGATTACATTAAAATGCGAAAAAATTCAAGTAAAAATCTGAGACCAAAAAAAATAAATAATTGACCTAATATAATAATAACAGTATATTATTACTTTTTGTACAAAGGCCAATGGCTGTAACAAAATCGAGAATTATATAGGGATCAACGGTGGAAAAACAGATCCTTCACTTTTGTATATTGAAATACTTTCTTTTCCAAAGTTCGGACCGTCTATTGAGTTGTTTCTAATGGTGAAATCTGTGTTGCATCCGACACAGAACGGTTTCTCACCTCCCTGCAAGAGATAGTTATGTGTCAGGTAGGTGTGTCCAATACGCAATCGGGTAAACATGACTTAGGCTCTTCTGGAAAGGTCCGAAGGTTTCGTGGACCCAGTTTGGGCATGTTGTTGCAGAGTTTGTTGTTGATTTGTTTACTCCAATGTGTCTCCCACAGACAGGAGGTGTAATTTTTTAACTTTGTTTTTATTGTAAGTCTGTGGGAGAGTGTTCTTCGTGGATCCCAACAGAAAGGACAGAGATTCCTTTGCCAAGAGAGCCACCTGCTTGTTTCCACGGATGTCCACTTGGATTGGGAGCCATGCAAGTATTATACTTTTTCCTTGCTCCTTTTGAGTGTGCATTTTTCGTTGTAACTTAATTATTTTTGGGTGCATGAGTGTGTCATTAGTGAGTGAGGTGATGCAGGACAGGTAGACAGACAGGATAAGGAAAGATGTTTTAGGAGAGTCCAATGCCATGTCAATGGTAAAGGCCCCTGCAGAGAAATAAATGGAGGCTTTGGAATGGAGTCTTTCCCCTCTGGTGTGTACTGTTTGTGGACAGAGCAGCGGCGCCCACTGCGGAATCCGATTTAGAGCCATCTTTAAAGATTAGCTCCCCATTGGTTTTGGTAAAATTTGGGTTTTTATATGCAGCTTTAAATATTTTAATGTTTGTGCTTGCTTTGTTGTGAGTGCTGAGTTGTAAGTTCACTTTTGCCATTGTGAGTTTCCGCGGAGGGAGGTCCTGGAAAAGAATTTTTCTGTCCTTTTTGGAAAAGTCTGAGTTTTTGAGGTTTTAAGGACTCTGAAACCGAAAGGTTTGATTAGTTTGTCATTGTTCTTGAATTAGTTTATTGTGTACGGGTGTGTTTTAAAGATGCAGTCGTGAGCTGGATTTTCTGGCGTTGAACTCTGTTTGACTGTGTACTGTAGTGAGAGTTATGAACGTCCGAATGTCATTGGTGATGTTTGTTTAGGCCTGGAGGTTCTCCACTTGGGAAGTGCGGACCCCCCCACCCCAGGGCGAGGCAAAGTCCTTGGTTTTGTACTGGGTATGGCATTTTTAAGAAGTGGGGTTTTCCAATCCACAAACCTGATATCCGTAGTCAAGCCTGGATCGGACAATGGAACAGTAAAGATGGGAAAAGGTGTTTTGAGTTCCCGTCCCACTCCGGATGAGAAAACTTTTTAAAGCGTTTAAGGCTTTTTGGTACATCATAGAACAGTCTTTTATGTGTGGAATGAATGTAATTTTTTAAAGTCAAATACATGTATAATTCCGAGGAAACGAGCTTGGTCCTGGACGGGAATCTTTTCCCCGTATAGTGTCAAATCCGACTGCAGCACACGTGTACTGGAGAAAACTTGAAATATTTATTTGATTTGCCCATTTTTCAAGTTTAAACAGCTGTGTTTGCAGCGTTGCCTTTCCATAGATCTTCGTTTAGGATTTTTGGAACGGCAGCAGGTGAGGAAGTCATCAATGTATAACCTGCTGTGTATGTCAAGTTGGAGGGTCTGAACTATGGAATTTATTTTTTAATTTCAAACAGGAGAGCAGAAAGGATGCTTTCCTGGGAAGGCACCTTCCTCCCGTGGTGGGGATCTGAAAGGGAGAATCCGACATGAACCTGGAAGGAACGATTTTTGAGGACATTTCCATTGAAGGCAGTGAGGTGACTTCGTAGGCCGGGAGCGTGCAGGTGTCTAAGATTTATGCATTACTTCCAGGCTGTGTTGAAGGCTTTCTCTAGGTAAAAAAAGATGGCGATCATGTGGTCTCCTTCGACAAAGGTCTCGTGTATAAAAGTCTCCAGGTGTATCAGGTGATCCAGAGTGGATCGAATTTTTCCGAATCCGCTCTGGAGACCGCTCAGCGAGCCAGTCGTCTCCAGAAACCACATGAGTCGTCGGTTGTTTTCTTCGTTTGCCCAGATAGCTCGTTAAGGCGATTGGTCGGTTGTTGGCTGTTTGTGAGTGGTCTTTGTTTGGTTTGAGAATTGGGATGGCAGTAGTAAGTCGCCAAGACTCCGAAAAAATGTGCAATCGCCACATGTCATTAGTGTGAGTGTTTCTGTGGGTGAATGTCTAATGATCTGATTATGGATGTCATTCGAACGCGGGCTGTATTTCCCAGGTCCGAGATGTATGATGTTAATTCGTTTAGTGTGAAGTCCGCGTTGTGGATTTCTTTGTTGCTTGAGAGGAAGTTTAGGTGTTGTTGTTTCCTGTTACTTTTGATGTTTTGGAAGGTGGTGTTGTTGTTTGTTTCAGATGAAAGTTTGGAGAGAGAGAGAGAGAGAGAGAGAGAGAGAGAGAGAGAGAGAGAGAGACAGACAGACAGACAGACAGACAGACAGACAGACAGACAGACAGACAGACAGACAGACAGACAGACAGACAGACAGACAGACAGACAGAGACAGAGACAGAGAGAGAGGGGGGAGAGAGAGAGCGAGAGAGCGAGAGAGAGAGAGAGAGAGAGAGAGAGAGAGAGAGAGAGAGAGAGAGAGAGAGAGAGAGAGAGAGAGATATGTAGCTTTTGTATTTGCAATGTCTATTTGTGTTTCTGCTCTGGTGCCATCCGGCCTTTAAACATGTCTGCGTCTATCCATTAAATTATATTTTTTTAAAGCTATTTTGAATACTTTTCTGAGTGGTGTCTTATTGTTGATTTTGGATATGTATTTCGAAAGGATTGTTTTTTGCTCTCCCTACGGCATGTACGTGCCTCAGCTTGCGCTTGTAAATAATTAATTTTGTTTTCTATAGGTGTTGTAAACGGCTCTCCGATAGACAACCTTCTTTTTCGATACTGCATGATTACACTCCCCAGAGAACCAGATTTAGTTCTTCCGGTGTTTTGGAGATGTTTTTGTTATGTATTTGTGACACATTTCTTGAAGCGTTTCCGGGAATTTGTTGTAGTTGAAGTCGAAAGTTGGGTTGGGTTGGGTTTAAAATAAGGGACCATTCAGTGTCCCTTTAAAAAAAAAGGAAGCATTCCGGGATTGGGTCGTTTTGAAGGCAGGACCGCCATTATGATGGATTGTTGGTTTTGGAGCACTCTGAAAATATCACTTTTGGAGTCCAGATAGAGGCACCAGGGCAGGGTGTCATAGTCACCCCAACCACATCAATGGACACCGGGGTGACTGAGGATGCACTGTCAAAACCGTATCTTATTTCATATTTTCTTCCAAATACACGAATTATCTGGTTCATCTGACTATCCAAGAGCCAAATGTATACTTTAAAACTTTTCGGCGTAATAGATTAGGAGGTTCTCACCAAAGTTTGAAGGAATCTTGCACAGGTCGATTTCAAATGCAGGTAGTAGCCAATTTTAAAATAAGCCTGAGGACCACCAAAAATGTTCCCGCTTAGCTATTTTTATATAAATACACCCCACATTGATTCCTCTTTTGGGTAATGCATTTCAAAAGTACTTAAAATCACCTTTGACATCGAAAGAAAAAACCTTGAAATCATCATAACATTTTCCAGTAACATACCTTAGTCATCCCGGGTGCCTTTGTCCCTCCAACTTTTCAGATTGCTACCAACGTGGAAAATAAAGCGAAAATACTCCAAATACTAGATTTTATACTCGTATCCAATCAAAAGGTGGTGCCTTTCTTTTGATTGCCAATATATTAACACATTTAATCTAGTTTATCACAGCCAACGCATGGCAACTACTAGAGAAAAAAAAGAAAATCAATGAACTTACTAAAACAACCGAGGTAAGCCACTTCACAGTTTTCACAAAAAGTTGTCATACGACATCGCTGCAAACTTGATTGACAGTGCTGAAAATAGTTTTAAAAAACAAGCAAAAAGGAATCATCATCGTCTTCATCACCATCTTACTTTTTATGAAAACAATATCCATCTATCTTGAATAGAAATCGAGACATTTACGGTTGAAGAGAATGGGGGATCATCTGGTGCCAGAGGTAAAATTAATGAGAAAATTTTGTGACTTCCAAAGCTCGAGTGACCTTGGACACAGAAAATGTACGTTTTTTGTTCCTTTGATAATGCTGTTTTCCAGTAAAATCTACACAGAAATGTTTTTTTAACCAGACTTAAAAGTGCCGAGCCAACGGGCAGTAAAATGTTGCTTTTTTCAATTACGGTATCTTCTCAAGAGCCTTTTCTGATGAGGTTTGGGGGGGG